AAAGGGGTCGGGGAACCGTCTCTCACCCGCCTGCGCCGCCTGGTTTGCTCTTCGGTCGGGTTTATTTTTGCTTTTGCATCCGGGCAACGCGCTTCATGCTTTATTTGTTTATTTTTTCTCTTATTTTCAGAGAAAATTGAACCGTTCCAGCTGCGGATCCCTCCTCGCCGGGGCGGCCCGAATCCCGGTGGCGGCGGATGTGCTTCGCTGGGGCCGAAAAGATGAAGGGAAGCAGGGATGTTTCCGGCTTTTTGGAGGTGGAAAAGAGCAGGAAATCGGCAGGTGATTGCGGAGCAGAGCGCGGGAGGGGATTAATGCTTAAAAGGCCACTTGCACCCCCGTTTTGAACGTAATTCTGCGATTTGAGGACGAAAAGCAGCGTGACTGGAGGAAAAAAAAAACTCATAGTCTAGCTGTTTTCTTGCACTTCCCCCAGGGAGGAAAGTTTTTTTCCCCCGAAACGCTTTGGCCGAGCAGCCCCAAACCGCTCCGATTTTGGGGGCTCTCCCCGCCGGAGCCGCGTAGAGGGCGAGTTGCGTGAGGAATAGGTTTTTTGGGTTTTTTTTTCTTTTTCTTTTTTTGGGGGGAGGGTGGCCGTAGCGGCGTTGTTTCTGGCTCTGCTCGTCACCGCCACGACCTTCGCGGGTGAGCGGGGTGGGGGACGCGGGCGCGGGCGGGTCAGGGCCCACCTCACCAAGCACGGGTTGGCACCCGAGGAAGTCAGATGCCTTCCGGAAGAGGATGTAGGAAGGGGAAGGAAGGGAGGGGGGAAAAGCCGAGAAGGTTGGTACCTGCGATCGCTTCGGGGCAAAACGAGCCGTTGCCTCCCCAAATTGCAGCTGTCAGGTGTTCAGAGGTAAATTCGGGGGCCGAATCCGGCTCTGGGCTTCCAAGGAAGACAGAGCCAAGGCCGGGAGGTCCCCTCCTCCCGCGTTTCCACGAGCGGGGAAGCGTTCCTCCGAAAGGCCAGCTCCGTCTCCTCCGTCTGTAGGAGCTGATGGCACCTAGAGCCCCTCAAAAAAGAGCTGGGAAGAAAGCCAGAACCCAAGGAACGTCCCTACCCGACCGTTTCCGAAGGTGGATTTTCCCAAAAAGGATCCGTTTCAGCGCTGGCCGCCCAAAGCAGGGTGGGCAAGCTGGGTCGGGGGTGTTGGCTGGAGTCCCACCAGGCGCAGGAGCTGGCAGGAGCCAGGGCTCAGCCTGGAGCGGTTTTCTCTTGCTCTGCCCGGTGCTGCTCTCGCTTTGTTTGCGGACGGAGAAGAGCAACGCCTAAAGGCTCATTCATGGAAACGCTTGCTCTGGAAACCCTCCGAAAACCTGCCTCTTTGGAGGCTGCCGTCCTATTTTTTTTGCCTTGAAGGTACCACGGTTCTCGGGCACCTTGAAGGTACCCGAGTTTCTTATTCAACGCTACCAGCCGGGCCGTGGTTTTGAGAGCGTTTTCCACCTGCCATCCACCCAAGGCTCTTCATTTCTTCTCCCCTCTCGCCCTCGAGGCGGACGCAAGAGTTTCAGGCCACCTGGAGCTGGAGGAAGACCTTCCCCGCCCCGGAGGAGCACGGGGAAGGTCACGTTCCTTAACGCTGTTGCATTTGCAGCGCAGGCCTTCCAGCCTCGCGTCCGACCTTGCCTTCGGTGCCCGTTCGACTGGATCGGGTACAGAGGGAAGTGCTACTCTTTCTCGGAGGCCGAGGCGAACTGGACGTCCAGCCGGGACAACTGCTCCGCTCTTGGTGCCTCCTTGGCCATGTTTGATAGTACGGAGGATTTGGTAAGAACCGAACTTGCTCTTGGCTTCGTGGGCGTTTTGAGGGCTCAGGGTAGCTGGGGAGGGGTGCAGTCGGCACGAAACAAGGCCGCCGACCTATTTGCCATCTTGCGGTTCCTTCCGCTGCTCTTACTAGGAGGTCCTGGGTGGAGGAGATGGGGGCGAACGGTTGCCGTTGAGGGTTGGTTGACACGGGGCTCCTCAAACTTCTCACCCGAGATGACCCGAAGCGAAGAACCAGGCCCCCGTTTCCGGGCAGAAGCAGAGATGCTGCTTCTCAGGAACGGACCGGGAGGTTCGAGCGCCGAAGGGGCGCGAGCAACCGCTGACGCGCAGATTCTCCGTTGGAGGGCGGTTTTCTGCAGAGAGCGCCTTGGTGGGGATTCCCTGAAGCCCGGCGACGGGAGCGAAAGCCTTTCTCTCTCCTCCTTTTTCAGAGCTTCATGACGAGGTACAAAGGCATCTCGGAGCATTGGATCGGCCTTTCACGGGAAGACGAGCAGCAGCCTTGGCAGTGGATAAACAGCTCGCGCTTGCATCCCCTGTGAGTCTTTCTAAGCGTTCTTGATCGTGACGGGTTTCTCCCGAAAACGCCCGAAACGCCTGCCCGTCCGCAGGTCGGTTTTTCCCTCGCCTATCGTTGCAGGT